GGCCTACCTGGCTCTTTGGGCGCTTTTCGGCTGGGAATCGCGGTGGTATGAGTCCGGCCCACACTCGGACCCAGGAGCGCTGCAGCTCCCGGAGAACTAGACCTGTGGTTCTGATTTATTGCACTTATGAGTACGCTCTCGAGTTATATCCATTTACCTATAAAGGATCCAGTTGATACTTCTGTATAGCTGACTAGTACGCTATTGTATAAAAAACCACAACTTTTTATCCATTCCTCAGTTGATGCGCATTTAGGTTGTTTCCAAGATTTAGCTATTACAAATTGTGCTGCCATAAACATGGGTGCACATATAACACTGTGATATGATGGTTTTTTCTTCTGGGAAGATACCCAGAAGGGGAATAGCTGAGTCAAGTGGGACCTCTAATCCTGGTTTTCTAAGGAATTTCCACAGTGGTTGCACCAGTTTACATTCCCACCAACAGTGGAGAAGGGCTCCTTTTTCCCCACAGCCGTGCCAGCATTTGTTATTAGTTGATTTCTTAATGATAGCCATTCTTTCTGAGGTGAGAGGGAATCTCAATGTTTTAATTTGTCTCTTGAATGACCAATGATGTTGAACATTTTTTCATGTTGTTTTTTGCCATTTGTATTTCTTCATCTAAGAGAGCAAAATCTTTATTCCTACTCATGGCTAAAATAAAATATTGTCCGACTTAAAAATCCAGAGACCTCATTACTTAGGTTGTCATTCTTACCAAATTTATAAGGTGTGATAAAAATAAAGTGAAATAAATCCATCACATAAAAACTTTACAGTGTGTCTGCCTCATTCTCTGAATCTTTCCCGATGTGACTTCTGGTTCTTCCCCAAAGTCAAAATGACCACGAAAGGCAAATGCTTGATTTGATTCAGGTCACAGAGGCAGCCATAGTAGTGCAACTGGGGACACTCATGAAAGAGGATGCTGTAGTGAGGGTTTGCAGGGAAAACAACACAGGACACATAATTTATAGGATTATTTTATAATAGTCGCACAAAGAATAATATACAAAGACAGTGCAAGAAATCTGTCCACACACTAAAGACTGGAAGAATCCAGCCGAAGGCCTGGATCCCATGGCAATGTCTTGCATGAGTCCAGCTAAAGACCTAGAGCCCGTAACAATGCCCCCCATGTGATCAACTGGAGGCCTAGAGCCCATAACAATATCTCATGCAGGCCTACTTCAAGGATCTGTGCTAAGAAGACCCCAAGGTGAGCAGTGGAAGCTAGAAAGTGTGCCAGGGGGATGAAGGACCTGTGCCAGCAGGCTGAGGGATCTGTACCAGAGCCAGGAAGCAACACTCAAAGTAAGGACTTTGTATGGACACTCAAAGAAGTCCTCCAAAAATGTACCACAGCCATCCTCAGCAGCAGTAAGGTCCTGAGCTCCTTTGATGATGAGAATAGTCAAGTTCATATCAGGAAAGCCAGCGTGACAAACTTCTCCAGGAGAACCAACAACACCAGAAGAACCAACAGCTCCCTAACAACACCTAACCTTCTTCCTCTCCACTTCTTCTTTTGTATGTCATTGGCAACAATCCTCAGGAGGGCCTCCCACACCCAGCACCATGCTCATTCAGCTCAGCTGGGTGTTACAAGTTGACTATCAGTTATCAATGCACCACAGAGGACTTCTAGAACGGCTTTAGAAAGTAGCAAGGATGATGGGATAATCCTGTTTGAAGCAAGAGCGAGTATTCTGAGAGGGATTAATGTCAATGTGTCTTTCACTGCACTACACTTTTACTATTTAAATACCCACCGTATCTTTTGATCGCACCTCATAGGCGTCCTGATGACAGCTGGTTAAATAAATGCACAGACAAATTTTACATTTTTACTGCTGAAGAAAACTACTGAACCCAATGAATTAAAAACACTGGGTTTAACCAATCCTGAATTTTGTGAAATAAAAAAATTTCCTTTGGAATCTAGTACATGAAATTTAAAAATATCCTGAAATTATATTATCAAATGTTTTGAAACATGATGCTTTCTTTGTCTTTCTTTTAAATTATGTCTTACTTTTCACAATAATAAGTCTGCATTTATGGACAAATACATGCAAGAAGTAACTAATTCTTTGCTGTTGCTCAAACTGTGCCCTTTCCCCCTCTCTCACCAGAAGCATATCCACGTTTAGATCATCGGATGCAACCAAGTCGTAAGTACTTTTTCTATTCCTTTTCCTCTTCCTCCTTCTCCTCATCCTCCTTCTTCTGTTCCTCCTCCTTCTTCTTCTTTCTTCTTCTCCTCCTCCTCCCCCGTCTCCTTCTTTTTGTTCTTCTTCTTTTTTGTTGTTGTTTTTGCTCTGGGACTTGAACCCAGGGACTTGCACATGCTGGGCAAGCACTGCACCACCAAGCTACATCTTTAGATGAGATACATTTTCCTGCCATGTTCTACTGGCAGTTACAAGCAACCCAAATTAGATGAACTTTTATACTTCATTAGTTTTAAATGTGTATTTCTCTGTAAAGTCGTGCTGGTCCCTAGCTCTCAGTGCTCAACACAGGCTGGGTTACTTCCATTTTTATGGCTCTGCATACATTAACGAATGCTAAGTGGAAACTTAAAGTGGTATGATTTTAAAGTTTTTTCTTTTTTTTTTTTTGTTTGTTTGTTATTTTTTCCAGTACCGGGAATCAAACTCATAACCTTGCACTCGCCAGGCAGATGCTGTGCCACTGAACTAAATCCCCAGCCTTTAAAGTTTTTTCTTAAACAAACATATTTTTAATGTAAAACTGTAGTATAATTATGTTCATCACAATATATTCATGATATTAAAACACTGTGAACCTGTAGCACACCAGAATGGGCAGGCCAGAATTTCAGACGGTTAGCATCATCTGATGAATGACCTCTTCACTCTATTCCTTCAGTTTGTAACCAAGTGAGAGCCTGCCGGTTTACAAAGTGGGTAAACTAAGACACCATTATTAGAGATTTCTTTTTTATTCTCAATTGAACCAGTTTGTGGTGGGGAGATAGCAGGTGGGAATCTGGTAGATTGTAAGACTGCTTCAAGAAGGGAAGGAGGAGCCAGGTGTGGTGGCACACCTGTAATCCTAGCACATGGGAGGCTGAGGCAGGAGGATCATTTCAAGTTTGAGGCCAGCCTGAACTACAAAGTGAATTCAAGACCAGCCTGAACTACATAGTGAGACCCTGTTTCAAAAAGACAAAAAATAAATAAAGAAAGAAAGAAGAAGCAGCAGCATAGGAGGAGTCAGCTGGAGGAGTGATAAGTTGTTGTTCTTGTCATTTATCAGGCAACCTGGCAGTTTGCTGAGTGTAAACACCTCCCACGCCACAGGTCTCACCCGTGCTGCCAGTCCTGTGAAGAAAAAGAGGTAGGCTGGCCCTTGTGTCTTGCTGACACTACGCAGAGACAATTCCTTACTACTGCTTGAACCAAACCCCCACTAAGGCTCTCAGACAGAGTCTGGAAACACCCTCCTGTTTCCACTTCTCCTTCCAGGGGTCCAACGCCTTACTCCGTCATCCTCACACTTCTGTCCTTTCCCCCAATTTCCTTTTCAAATACTGCAATTACTTTAGAGCTTTGATTTTCTAGGTGATGTTTTTGATGGCAAGCTCAATGTTAAAGAGTTAGGCTCCTTCAGGTAGCATATTTTGTAGGGTCTTATTACAGAGAATGAATCACCCCGAAATAATGATTGTCATGTATGAGTCACCGTACTCCTGAAACCAGCCTGTACCTGGAGCCACTTCTCATTCTGTGGACTGGGCAGATTCTATTTCCCAGTAGAGTGACAGGCCCTCTCTGAGGACATCTGTGTTTGTGTGATTGTCACCTCTCCCTCCAGCACCCCCTGTGCAGCCTCACACATGCTGCTCATGCTGTATCTACTAGGTATTCTGTGGTGGCAGAATATTCTTCATGACACAGAGTGTGACTGGGGAAGAGACCTTTACATGTTGAAGAGGACGCGGAGTAGGGAATCATGACACAGATGAAAAACAGGCACGCCCAAACCTTGCAGATTTAAAATGTTTTTTTCTTTGTGGGCATCTTGGACTTTACCTGGTATAAGATAGATGCTCAGTATTTGTTGATGGACTCAGTGACTTTATCATGACACTGCTGTAGTCCTTCTGGGGACAGAAGACTGATTATCTTTATTTATCATGTAGTCATGGTTGTATCTGCAGAATCTCACTAAATGTGAATCACCTTTCCCTTGAAACTAAATTTCATATCCCCTTGAGCTTTGATCTACTAAAAGCAACTATATTACTGATTTCTGTCCAAGGAAAGGCAGCTTCTTATCATTAAAATTAAAAAAAAAAAAAACAGACTCCAAAGGTTGTAAGAGAAATTTAAGGTCAGTCACTTAAATGTCCTACCCATTGTAAGAATGTTTGTTCCCTCTGACAGACCAGACATTGTTCAGAACCACTGAAACTAGCAGTGAGGCTCGCAGTGTTTGTGACACAACTTCGAGTAGCTCTCCTGGGGAGCTCTGCTCCTTACATCCACCCAGCATCTGCATCAGGTGACCCCCACCTGGCCTTAGTTCAGTCCTGTGGTGCTCGGGAAACAGACCTACTTCAAGGATTTCAAGCCGTGCTCCTGTCTTCCCAGGCTTTTCCTTTGCGAGTCCAAATCACCCTCTGCATATTATCATTTTGGGTCTTTGGTCTTCATTACCTAAGTCTTGACAGAAGCCTTCACTATTGCTACCAATTAAAATTACTCCCTTATAAAGTGAGGACATTTTTCTAATTGAGGTTAAAGTTGAGGTTGGCGTTGTTGTAGAGTTTGTTTATGTTTTCAAAATTCTTGTCAGGGTTTTCTATCATATAGTTTTTCAAAAACTGTACTTTGAGTACAGCATCAGATTGTTACTGTTATTAAGAAATAGTTCAAGTAGGCAGGAGAATAGGGAGAATAACGTGATAAAGACACATAAACCTGCTATCTAGATATACCCATTGTTATTCTTCTCCAGGTCCTTCAGATTTCTCTTGAAAGAAATATCCCTATTGTTTAGTGCTCAGAGAAACAAGAAAATGAGTTTACTCAGAGGAGAGATTGTCTGGATAGTTGCTTTCTATTTTATTTATGAAATAGTGTTCATTTTATTTCCAAGGCCTTTCTGAAATAAAAAAGTAATCTCATTGCCTTCCGAATTGTCAAATTCTTCCCAGCTTCTCCTGACAGACATGAGGGTGGGACTGGCCTTTCAGCATTCTGTTTATAATTGATCTCATTTCTTAACAGACAGTCCTGGTTTCCACCACCCCCTCCGGGTCACAGCACCACCCCGAGCACAGAAGCCAGCAGAAGGTGAGGGGAAGAAGTCAGATGTAATTGCTATGCCGCTGGGTGGAAGTACATGTCAGACACTGACAACGTATCATTGCGAATGCTTTGGCAATTTTGTGAGGTCTGGGCTCTGAACAAGACTGTACCCCGTGTTGAAAGAGGTCAGGGTTGCAAGTTCCTCCGGCAGGAAATCAGAAAATCTACAGTAAGGAGTAAGTTGATGGCTGTATTAGTTTGCTAGAATTACCATAAGAAAATGCCGCAAACTAGATGGCTTAAACAACAAACACACTACGTCACAGTGCTGGGAGGTGAGACGCTCGAGACCAAGGTGTTAGCAGGGTGAGTTTCTTCTGGGGGCTGGGAGGGGGTCTGTTCCACGCCCTCGTCTAGACGCTGGTGGTTTCCCGCAGCCTTTGACCGCCCCTCGTTCGTACAGCATCGTTCCCACCTCTACCTTCCCGTCACGCAGCAGTCCCTCTCTGCGCCTGTCTTGAGTCCCAAGTTCCCTTTCTTATGAGAACGCCAGTCATACTGTGTGAGGTCTCCTTCCCATTCCACTGTGGCCTCACCCGAACATAACCAACGACCTCTGCAACACTCCTGTTTCCAAGGAAAGTCACATTCTGAGGTAGGCTTTGGGCTTCAATGTATGCATTTAGAGAAAACGCAGTCAACCCCCATCAGCGGCAGAGAAAGAAGAGCGGTGCGCGGCAGGCAAGGGTCGTGGTGTGGGGCCCTGGCATTTAGCTGCTTCTGGGCTGGGTGGAGCCCAAAGGGCCTGGTGGGGATGTAGGTGGCCAGCTCCTCGTAAAGATAAAGTGACAGATGTGTGTTTTGTACTTGTTTGTTGTTGTTGAGAGCGATAGATCTACCTGAAGTTGTAGATCACGTGGCAGACACTTTATTCTAGTTTCCATAGTAGGCTTGCCAGTAACAGTTCAGCTTAATAAGTGTTTATTGATGATAACTGTAAGACTGGTAGTGTTCTGGGATTTTGGAGTTTACCACTGAACAAAACATAGAGCTTATGCTGCAGACTTTAAAGAAACAGGTTCTACAAATATACAGAATCTATGTCATCACTAACTACCACAGAAAGAAAAATGGGTCTCTCATATGGTATGGCTTTCATTTCTCTAAAATGTTTTCATACCTCAGCTCCTAGAATATCACCATGTTTTCTTACATCCAACTACTGGAAAAGACAGTACTGTTAAACTATGTAGTTAGGTTTTTTTTTTTTTTCGTCTTTTTGAAACAGGGTCTCACTATGCAGTCCAGGCTGGCCTTGAGCACACTTTGTAGCGCAGGCTGGTTTCAAGCTCACAACGATCCTCCTACCTCAGCCTCCTGAGTGCTGGGATTACAGGTGTGAGTCACCACTCCTGGCATGTAGTTGTTTTTATTTTATAAATATTTTGTCTGCTATGCAGATTTCTAATGACTCATTTCCAAATGATGGAAATATTTGGAAATAAATACCTTTCAATATAATTTGTATTGGATATAACAGGATACAAATAATCTTCAGCTGGTCATCAGACACAAAGACCTCATTGTTTTTCATTCACACCTACCACTGAATCTGTAATATATAGATATACTGTATATGAAATTACTGTACATGGTGAATCACCACAATTTGGAGTCACATCTACCTTTTGTTTAAATTTTCTTTGTAAACTTCATGTATAGGTGACTTCCAATTATATGAACTTCCAAGAATGAAAATATTTCTAATTAAAATATTCTACAATGTTTAAAATATTTCTTTCTCCTAGACAGTATTAGGTATTTCTCTGTAGATACCTTTCATGGGGCTACCTAAGCAGGGAAAATGTGAAGTAGGAGTTCTGCTAATGGCAATTTTTTCATAAGTATTGTAAGATCTATCCAATTAAGGTCTTCATAGATAATAACTGACATTTTTCTTAGAAATATTTGTTACTTATAGCCAAAATAACTTATTTTTGTCTTCCATGTATTATTTTAATATTAATGTAAAATATCACTGTAATAAGCAACTAGTTGTGTAGCTATATAAAAATATGCAAGGATCATTCATGAGCCAACATCCCATATTTTCCATGCCTATTGAGCTTGTGGATCTGTTTGCTCAGACCTGACAGGTCCTTCTATGAAACTTCACAATTTATGCATTGCTGGATGTGATTTACATGGAAGATAAAATGAGCTACAGTGCTCCTATTTATGATTACTGGCTTGAATCCATATCACCAGAATTAAGAAGTGGAGATTGTTTGCTTGGTTGGTCAATTTAGATACCAATTTTTTTTCATAGTCACAGATTATTGACATAATAGCTAACCTTCTCCTTGAGGATCAAAGATAATGTCATGCCAAGCTTTCCAAGGAAAAAGTAAATTACAACAATATAGCAGTGCTTTTGATTTCTGAAATGCTCTTCTTTGGAGGGGCTCAGAGAACAGCTTCTGTTTCTCATCTTTAATGCCTGCGCATTCTCACACCTGGTAAATCACCTTTTTAGTAAATGCTGAAAAGTAGCTGCAGTTATTAGATGCTGAAAGGAAATAGGCTTAAAAAAAGATCTTGGTCCCCAGAAGAGCCTAAAGAAAATAAAAATAGGTATAAAACAGATAAAAATGGGGGAAGTATGGTTTTTCATACTAGTTAATAGCACAATGCTGAGCCTATTTCTCTTTATCTTTCACTAATGTGCTGGTATACATTTCCCTGTCTCTCCCCTCCTATCTTCTCCAGAAGAATTTTCCTATATTACTGACTCCCTCACTCTCTTTGTCTTTTACTTTTCCAGCTTCTTTTTTTTTTAAATCACCTAATCTTTCCTTGAAATTTCAGCTTTTCTCACACACTCTTCTCTGAGCAGCATGCTAGGAAAGACTTCCTGAATTCCCCCCCATTCCAGGAATGAGTCTACTTCCTTGCCTCCTGGCCCAGACAGCTATGTGTCCTTTAATACCTACTCACTGGTCCCTTTCTTGACTAATACACTGTGAGAGAGACCAAATATAGTTGTGTTTGGATTGAAAACCTGAGTTAGCACTGTGTATGGATTATAATCAATTACAGGTAAACGTAAACTGTACTAAACTTTACATACCAACAGATCTCATGATACTGTCTATCATCTGTTGTTATATATGTATATTTATAAGGATAGCTAAATTTCAGTGTGTAAGTCCATTTTTACATCTGTATTTATTTCTACATATACATTTATATGCTTTCATCTTTTAAAAATAAATTTATTTTAAAAATAAATTTTTAAAAATTGAAAGTAAAAGATCACTAAGGATTTTGCTGATAACTCCTTGCTGATAGCACTTTGGCTTCCTGATCTTTCAATGTCATTGCCAACTATTCCCAACTTTATTAGTCTCTCTCATTGTCTTTTGAGAACCGGTCCTCCAACATACTCTTCTGAATTTTCTTTAGCCATTCTCCCTTTGTCTCCTTTGCTATTTCATCATCCTCCAGCCAGCCATTAAGGGTTGATATTGCCAAAGGCTCAAGGTTCTTCTTCTCTCCTGGCTCTGTGTTCTGGCCTTTGGCAGCAGTATCCATGGGCAACATGTCGATGGTCACACAGTGTCCTGGTGAGGAATTCCTGTGCAAGCAAACACCGAGGACAACAGCTTGAGGTTCTTTATAGTGACCCAAGCTGGATAATATGCAGGTACAAACAATCATAACTAAATATCCCTGAGAGGTCACGAGAAGAACATCAGCATCCTCTGGGAAATCTGATGAAGGAGGGCGTGCCTCCAACAGGGGCTCACAGACAGATCGTGAAGGAAGTGTGGGATTTGGAGGAAGGAGAGATCATCCAGGGCTAGACTTTCAAGCAAAGGGTGATTTTAAACAAAGTGAGGTCACCAGTCAATGCAGAAAGGAATAGGAGCTGGGGGAGGTCACAGGATGTCTTCAGAAGGTGCCATTTTGCTTTGTTGTGAGTAGGAAGAGTCTTGGAGTCTTGGTTACTGGAAAGTTGTGTATGTGGAGTTGATTCTCAAGCAAGAGAAATGCCTGGGAAAAGTGGGTATGGAATGTGCTCAGGTAAGAGGCTGGTGCTCAAGAGCCTGATTTGAGGATAAACCCAGGGATAAAATCTAGTATCTTCAGAACAAAATTAGTTGTGTTGAGAGAGGCGGATGAGAGGCCGATGAATGTGGAACTTGATGTATGTCTGTGTGTCAGATGGAGGAGGAGGAAAGAGGAACTGAGACCTAACTGCTGCAGTTAGCTGGTAAAGGAGAGCTGTAATGCGAGGTAGGTGGATGAAGGGAACATGGGTGGATGGGTTTACCATCCCAAACCACTCCGAGCCACCTTTCAAAGTCTGGCATGAATCTTACTTCCTCTACACTCAGTCCAGCGTTAATCTTTTGTCACGTGACCTCAGAAAGCTTACTGACTATAATCCTCATTTAGCAACTAATAGTGCATGACCTTGAAACGTTACTTAACTTTTAGAGTGTGCTTATCAACTAGATGGCGTCATTTACAACTTTTTGTATCATCAAGGAAACTTTGCATACGAATTTGTCAACAGGTATATACAACTTGATAGATTTTAAAGTCTTAGTGTCTACAAGTGAAAGACAATGATTTTCTCCCAACTTGCTACCCTATTTACCTTTCTGTAGTTGGATCTTACTCCATGTGATGAGGTTATAACGACTGATTAAACATCTTTCCCTTTCTCTCTCTCTCTCTCTCTCCAATTGTTGATTTCTTGCTATGTATTAAAAGAATATTTTGCTCACTGCTAGGAACAGGGAGAGGTATAAGAACCAAATCCTAGGGCCAGGGATTTAGCTCAGTGGTGCAGCACCTGCCTGGCAAGCAGGTTGGGTCCTGAGTTGGATTCCTGGTACAAAAAAAAAAAGAACCAACTCCAATTTAGAAAGCTCAAAGTCCACCAGGGAGTCATTTTAAACCAGGATTACAAAACATAAAGGCTAAGCCTGATTGAAAATATTTCTTGTGGAAATAATGAACACAAAGTACAGATA